CTCTGTGCCGTTGTCCACCGGCTATTAACCCCCCAGCGGTGAGCCACACCACTGCACTGGGGGGCAGGTTTCGCACTGGGGGTTTAATAGCCGGTGGACAACAGCACAGAGCGATGAGCTGGACCAGGACCTGGACTCACCGTACAGTGAGGACACCACGTTCACTGGTCTCTGGACGGGGTCTGTGCAAAATAAACACAAAATTAAAAACTAATCCTATTCATTACATTTATAGATGTGTCAGTACTGTACCAGGACATTGCGAGGACACCCGTTCAGCTGTGGGATCTGTGCTGTGAGGCAGGTCAGGGGTCCAAGTGCACACAGGATGGAGTCCAGAAGAACAGACAGACTCCCGGAGACAGCAACCATCCCCTAACACCAAAGAGCCAGTGACAAAAATATCATTAAAATCAAATGCAGCGCGCACCTAAAGCTTTTGTATGCTGTTTTAGATACAGTGGCATCAAAGTACTGAGTAAACTAAATGGATAAATCAGCTATTTTGGCCATAAAAACAAACTATGTCCAAGGGGGTCTGAACTTTGTTTCCACGCTTGTTTGGTTGTCTTTATACTGTAACATCTCTGTTCTGGTCTCTGGACGGGGTCTGTGCAAAATAATGCTGTCCTGCTGGTTTTCCAGCTGTCTCCGCCCCGCCCACTGCTGATTACCTGGATCAGGTGTGTTCAGTCAATCACAAGCTGGACAATACCAATTCACCTTGTCTTTCCTCACTCCACCTTCATGTAAAATGGTATTGTCCTGTGTGTGATTGACTGAACACACCTGATCCAGGTAACCAGCAGTACAGCAGCCTTAGAGGACTGGGATTGGTCACCCCTGTTGTATGGAGTGGTTACTGGTCTAAGTGAACATCCACATGGAAACCTACCTCGGTTTCTTGGAGTCTATGTCCAATCAGGGACAGGGACTCTCCGAGCAGCTGCAGGTGAGCTGCTGCATCAATGGGATCAACATCTGGGACTCGCGCTGGAGACAGAGACATCATACCAGCAGCTCTGTTTGGTGACACCATCGCTGTTCCCGTTCCTCCAACTTCAGTAACCAGACAACGGTGGGAAGACGGATGAGAAAACTGACATGACTTAAACATGTGCTTCAACCAACCACATCCCACTTCAAAAATACCTTTGCTCTTGCCCTCGTTGGAGCTCTTGTGTTTGATTGTCGTGGCCTCGGCTTTGTTCTGTTTGTGCTGCAGATACTGAGCTTTCTGCCTCCACACCTGCACACAGCAACATGTCAGTGCACCACCACCACGACACACTGAGCAGCGATACTACATTCAACTGGAGAATTTAATTCCTGACGAATAATGTAACAAATCTTACTAGTTTGTCTTTCTCGGGCATCGCCTTCCACACCTCTGCCAGCTTCTTGCTCAGCTCACCAAATACTGCACATTAGACGCACAAACAGTATTGAAGTGGTTTCTTTCAGTAGCAACATGGAACAACTGTGTCAGTGTTTCACCCACCGAGTCCTGGCTGCTCTGCATTGATGTTGACCCTGTACTCCTTACAGAACACCTGATACGCAGTTGTGTTCTTCTTCTTGGGCTGAAAAGAAACAAGAACATTAACATCAGCAACACAACAATTAGACAATTGACTAATTTTCTAACCAGCAAACTACTAGGGATGGGACAATATATAGGATTTCCATATATCACAATGTGTATCATTTTGTTTAGCGTTGTATACCGTGTGGTTTCCATACATCAGTGACTTCTCAATATATCAGTTTGTTCACATAATCAAACCAGTGCTAGAAAAGAGGAATCAAGTGCAAGTATTCTTCAGCTGCTCACACACTGTTGAACTGTTAATTGTATCATGACAATCAGATCGTGCAGTTTCCGCTGGTATCGCTCCAACCTTGCATTTTTCATGCAACGGTTAAATCTCATTCTATGAAGATTCATACACAGGAAACAGTGGCGTACACCACATCATGCATCGAGTCGTACTGAGAAAAGGTTGCATCCCTACAAACTACAGCCCCCGGCCCTCTGGGACGTGAGGCTGAACAGTATCGTACCTTGTCTTTATCTTTCTCATGCTTTTCCCGATCTTTCTCCTCTTTCTTCTTCTTCTTCTCTGTTGTCCCATCGCTGCCTTGATGGTGGTGTGGGGGGACGGGTGTGCCCAAGGCGTACATGGGCCCCACAGCGCTGTGAGTGACAGTGGGATGGGAGTGGCTGTGCTTCGAGGCATCTGAACAAAGTTGTACAAAGATAAAATAGAAGTTAGAACAGCGGGAGTTAAAGGTTGGAGAAGATGAACATGATAAAACACTGAGCTCGTTAGTTTGATCTTTGCTGCTGGGACCAGATGGGAAACAGCTGCAGTTTTCTAAAAACTGGCAGCAACAACGCTGCCATGACAGAAGTTAAAAAGTCCATTTTCTGTCTGTTACACTCTTCTACATCCTTCGGCCACTCACCACAGCGGAGCACTGCAGTCCACATGTGCCATTTGTCACGATGCCCTTCATGGCACAAATTAGGACTGCTAATGACCCTAATCCTAATCTTCATGTCGCTGCCCTGTGGGAGGAGTACATGGACGAAGCACACACAGGCACACTCCACACAGAAAGGCCCAGGTCAGGATTCAAACCTGAAACCTTCTTGCTATGAGGTAACAGTGCTAACCACTGCTCCACTGTGCCAGCCACATCGAACTGTTCAATACAACAAAATATGTTTTTGCAGAATGAACATTCTTATAGATTAATTAAAAATTTGTTCAGAGGAGAAAGACCCAGGAGCTAGACCACCTGGCTTCCTGATCCACCTCTAATAAACATGCTAACTGTGTGCACTGTGATAATATGATAGTTTTGTTTCACCCTACATCTGGTAGAACACCTATAAGCAATAGCTTCATAAATGGCAGCACTGGAATGTATTGTTAAATGCTCAGATGCTTTTGGACACACCAGCAAACTTAGCCTGCAGATTTAGGTCCAAATGCACCTTGAGGACGACGAAGCTACTTTACATTTAACAGCTACTGAACATGGCAAACTTCTCCTTTTTCATATGGTCCATTAGCAGTGACGTACTTTGTCATTTTATTAGTTTATCTGGCACAACATTTATAGATTTTACCTGTCTGATACTGTCGTATTTGTATACTGATATTAGTACATATTATATTTCTTTCTTTATGCAGTCAGTCTAACTGGGGTTGGGTAATGTTCATGACTGGGGTTTTTATTGTAGTCTAGTCTAAAATACGCACATTGTACCTTAAATAACTATGGAGATAAAATACTATCAAAAATGTTACAAATG